TTTGTTTTGTTTTGTTTTGTTTTGTTTTGTTTTGTTTTGTTTTGTTTGGAAACAGATCAGGGTAGCCTGGAACTCTCAGTCCCCCTCCTCAGCTCTCCAGTGCTGGAATTAAAGGCATAAACCATCACATTTGGCTGTGAGTTCTTTTGTTACAGTACTTTTCACTTTTGTTTGTTTATATTTTTATTTTATTTATTTTGAGACAGGATTTCTCTGTGTAGCCTTGGCTGTCTTGGACTTCTTTTGTAGACCAGGCTGGCCTTGAACTCACAGAGATCCTCCTGCCTTTGCCTCTCTGAGTGCTAGGATCACAGGCATGTGCCACAACACTTTTAAATTTAAAAGTGTCACTTTAAAATTTTAGCACAATACTGATATATAGAAGTCATGCACAAAAAGACATGAGTTTATTTTTTCTTAAGTGTGAAATGAGGGGTGCTGGAGAGTTGGCTCAGGAGTTAGGAGTGCCTGCTGGACCTGAGTTCAATTCTTAGTTCCCATGCCCAGTGACTCACAACAACCTATAACTCCTGCTCCAGGGGATGCAGTACCTCTGACCTTTGAGGGCACCTGCACTTATATACACATAATCCATGATTAAAAAGAGCTGGAGAGTTGACTTGGCACCTAAGAGAGGCTGTTGCTTGTGGAGGATGGGTTTGGCTTCCAGCATCCACATGGTGGCCCATCCAGGAAGTCTGATACCCTCTTCTTCTGACCTCTACAGATACCATGCAAGCATGTAGTGCACATACATGCATGCAGGCAAAACATTCATGCATGTGCAATCCGATAAATAAACATAATCTTTTTTAAGTTAAAGAGAGGCTGGGAGCACAGCTCGTTAGGTAAAGTACCTGCCACACAGACGGTTCCCCAATACTGATGTAAAATCCCAGGTGGAGACATCTCGACCCCAGTCCTAGTGCTGGGGAGGAGACCATCTGAATCGATGCAGTCCAGGTTCAGGGACAGACCCTGCCTCAATAAATAAACAAAACAAACAGAGAAATAAAAGGTGAAGAGATGATGCACTGGCTCTGCGAATGAAGGCAACTGCCGCCTGTATGTCTGATCTCTAAGAATCATGTGCTGGAAGGAGAGAACCAACTCCCACAAGATGCTGTGTTGGTTTGAAGGAGAAAGGCCCCCAAAAGCTGATTTATATAAATACTTGGTCCCAGTTGATGGAACTGTTTGGGAAGGATTGGGAGGCGTGTCCCTGTAAAGAAGATGTATCACTGTGGCAGGCTTTCAGGTTTCAAAAGCACATGTCCTGTCCTTCCCAGTTTTCTCTCTTCCTCTCTGCCTCCTGGCTGTGTCTTAAGATGTAAGCTCTCAGCTACTGATCCAGCACCATGCCTGCCTGTGTGTTGCTATGCTCCCCACCACCATGGGGTTTTTCCAGACAGGGTTTCTCTGTGAAGCTGTGGCCTTGTTGGAGGAAGTGTGTCACTGGGAGTGGGCTTTCAAAAGCCCATGCCAAGCCCATTGTCTCTCTGCCAGAGGCTCGGGATGCAGTTCTCAGCCACTCTCCAGTGCCATGCTCCCTGCCATGATGATAATGGACTAAGTCTCTGAAGCTGTAACTGAGACTGAGCCTAAACCCTTTCTCTTGTAAGAGCTGCCGTGATCATAGCAATACAACAGTGACTAAGACAGCACTCCAGTGCACCCTCTGCCACAGGTCATGAAATAAATAAACAAAATGCAAAAATAAATAAAAATTGTAGATAAGGTAGAAAGATGGGAACCGGGGAGACAGAGGCAGGCATATCTCTGTGAGTTCAAGGTCAGGCTGGTCTACAGACAGGACAGGACAGCCAGAGTTAACATGGAGAAACTCTGTCTCAAAATCAATGAATCAGTCAATCAACCAATCAGGGCCTGGAGAGATGGTTTAGTGATTAAGAACACTGACTCCTCTTCCAGGGAACCTGAGCTCAGCTCCCACATAGTGACTCACAGCCATTCAAAACTCCCATTGCAGAGGCTCTGATATTTTCCTCTGCCCTCCTCAGACTCCAAAAATGCACACAGTACACATGCAGGCAAGACACTCCTATGCATTAAATAAACAAATATCAACAACTAATTATACTAAAATTAAACACACACACACACACACACATTCCTGGCTGCCCAGGAACTTGCTCTGTAGACAGGCTGTCCTCCAACTCAGAGATCTACCTGCCTCTGCCTCTGTCTCCTGAGAGGAGAAACAAGATGTGCTGTTGATGCTTGTCATCCCAGCACTTGGGAGACTGGGGCAGAGAAGCTGTGAGTCTGAGGTCAGCCTGGGCTCCTTGTTTGTTTGTTTGTTTGGGTTTTTATTCTTTTGAAACAGGGTTTCTCCGTGTAGCCTTGGCTGCCTGGACTCACTTTGAAGAGCAGGCTGGCCTCGAACTCACAGAGATCCACCTGCCTCTGCCTCCCAGAGTGCTGGGATTATAGGTATGTGCCATCAGGCTCCTTGGTGAATTCCAGGACAGCCTGTCTCCAAACCACAAACATATTTTCCTTTCCACAGAATTCAGAAGGCCATAAAGGGGTCTTGAACCCCAAAGGCTCCAGAACTGTCCAGCTGCAGGTGGATCACATGACATACGCAGCACCCTTTCTTTCTCTGTGCTTACGGGTTGGCCCTGGCTGGAGGCTCCCGGGAAGTTTTATGGAGTGGCAGGTTGGTTCTTTATCTGTTCACACCCTGATTTGCTACTTTCGTCTGTAAAGTCTCAGACCTGTCCCTCACTTCACCTTACTTTTAAAACACACTTATCTTGCAGACTCAAGAAGGTGGTTTACAGAGTGCTAAGGCTTGAGAGATCTGTCCGAGGGAAGAGACTTCCTTTTCCCACCATGCTTTTGCTTCTTCTCTCCCCTGTGTCCTCTCCCCTGTGTCCAGTCATCATGGCAACACAAGTGCAAAGAGGTAGGATACTCCCCTCTTTGGGGACTATTTGGAGACTCTCAGTCTATCCTGCTGTGCCTTTTGGTTTCTTTGGGTTCTTGTAGCTCCCTCCCTGGGCGCCTAACTGGGCTTTTGTGACGGGAACCTGTCAAAATTCCTTAGTTTGGTAAGTCAATCAATTCGACTTGGAGAAGTGCCCTGTGCTAAGACCAGCAGAGGGCGCGAAAGCCTTAAAGACAGAGGTGTGGAGGTGGCGGCAGTGTCCAGAGTTTGGAGCTGGAGGACCGAGGCTCTCCGGAGAGGCACTCCAGACAGAGGGTCCTTCAGTCTGCACATCCTGCACTCATCCTGCAGCCCGCATTCCTCTTTCATGTTCCGTAGGTCGCGTCCCCAAAACTTTCTACCACACCACAGCCAACACAATTCTTTTTGCCCTTTTGGCTTTGGGGGTTCTCAGTCTACCCTGGTGTGCCAACTCTCCCCAAATCCTCCACGTTCCGTCCGAAGAGTGAGGCTGGCCTGTACACCACAGCATGGAGAATGCTCAGTTAAGACCAACGAAAGCGGGCGGAAGGCCGCACCTTCAAAGTTAACTTTCTGGGGTGAGCTTTCCCCCTCCCTCTCCCGCAGCGCAATATTTTCCTTAATGTTTTCCTGGCTCCTCTTCAGGTCTCTTCGTGGACGGCCGATCCAGGGCTCCGCGCCGGGATTTCCTGTGCACCAAGAGCAGCGTGTGCGGGAGGGGGGGGTAGTAGGCAGTGTAGGGTCCCTCAAGGGAGAGGGAGGATCCTGGGGGTCCTGGGGGTGCCGTAAGCCCGGCACCCCCTCTCTAGCTTCTATCCACCCTACCTCATCTTCTAGAGCCGCCCGGAGGAAGGATATAGGAGGGAAGTGAGCGGGAAGAGCAGCGCGCGCGGGTGGCAAGAGCGAGAAAAAGTTTTTGCGAAAAAAAAAAAAAAGTTTGCGCTTCTCGCGGGTGGTCCCGGCTCGCGGCCCGGCGAGCTGGGCCGGCGGGAGGGCTGGGGGCCAGGTTGGGGGGGTGGCACCGAAGCTGCACTGCAGGGGCCCTGTCGCCCCCCCTCCCCTCCGCAGCCTCCCCTCTCCCCTGCCCAGTTTCCAGTCCTGGACCACGCATCCCGAACTCTGCGCCCCGACGGAGGTGAGAAGGGGGGCAGGCGGACAGACCACCTGGGAGCGATGGGGGAGGGGGCTGGGGCGATGCTGTGACGCCCAGGGACTCACCCCATCCCAGAAGGAGGCCTGGAGCGCTGAGGAGATAAGGGATGGGAGAGATTGGAGTGAGCTTTTGGGAAGTGTAGGTGTTTTCCTCGTTTTGCTTTGATGCGTGCCTCCTTTTCTCTGCACCTCGGTTTCCTTCTGACAGTCCGTGTCTGCCTCAGGGCTCTTTGTCCGCGCCTCTCCTACATATTGGCAATCTCTCCCCTTCTTGAGGTTGGCATGAAGAAGCAGCTGGGTCGGCCAGCTGGAGGTCTGCGTGGTAGAGGGAACTCCAGGCGCGCCTCTGAACGCCGTTGGAAGAAGCCAGTGTTGCTAAGACGGGGCCACCGCAGAAGCAGGGAGAGCCCAGTGGGGTAGGAGGCGACCAGGTCTCTGAGGCCGGGCTGGGACTGGATCCCTGACCTGCGCTGTGACAGATGTGCCCGTGGGGTTTGGGGGCAAAAGGAGTGGTTTGGGGTTAGATAGGAGGCTGGCTGGGTTTCCTAACGTCTAGTGAAGGCCTTAGAAAAATCCCTAGGAATTTTGGACTTTTGAGTCCCAGGGACTGTGGGCAGGGCCTGAGGAAGAGCAAATGCCAGGGAGACCTTGTCTTGACCCTCTGACCTCAGGACCACCGGGGCAGCTGAAGCCAGGCGCCAGGAGACCCCTACTGGGGCAGAGAGGGACCACCGGCTACTGTCAGCCTGTCTCCCGGCTGGCCCCCCGCCCAAACGGGAGCTGGGGACCGAGGCCCCTCCTCTGCCTCAGACCACCCTGCCTGCCCTTGCTCCCCGCTCTGAATCCTCTTTCAGGCTCCGTGACCCTGAAACAATCAACCTAGGACAGTAAGCTTTGGGGACAGGATCAAGGAACGAGGACTCCATAGAGACCGGGGGTTCTGGGTGTCTGGGGAACTAGAGGCACGGAGGTACAGGTCTTTCCTTCCGGTGTTGGGGGAAAGATGGGCAGTTTTCTAGGAGAAAAGTTCTTGAGTGCGGGTGATCTTCCCTAGGGGGCGGGGTTCAGAAGGACCCCCCCCCCTTATCTCCCTGGGCATCCCCGCTGGACAGGCGTCTCCGACTCGCCCTTGACGTCACTAGGGGGTTCCCGGGGGTCTCTGGGGTTAACCCTTAGGAAGCCGATTGAGATACTCGGGAATCTGAGGTGTCCTCTCGGTACGCCACCCATTCACTCCAGCACTTCTTTCTCGGTAGTTTCTGGTCTCTTCTTACGCACTCCGCTATAGGGACCCCACTTTCCAACAGTGCCCCCCCTTTCGCGCGCGCCACTGCCTGCTCTCAGGATGCGCTGAGGGAAGGGAAGAATGTTCCACCCTCCCCCCCCCCCGGCTTTTCTGGGCTCCCCAGGCGGGCGGGGGAAGCTGCGCCGTCTGCAGCCAGAGCCCGCGGCGGCGACTTGGGTGGGCCGAGAAGGCACGGGGGCGGGGAAGGCGGGACCGGGAGAAGGGGGTGGGGCCGACTCCTGGGAGTTGGGGAGAAGGGGTTTGTAGAGGACTCCAGAAAACACACACTGAAGATGATTCGGGTCTGGCAGGCTAATTCTCAGCGCTCTCTGCCCCATCACGCCCAGAAACCTTTACCGAAACTGGAAAAGTTAGCGACGTCTTCTTTTACTAGTGTGAAGGGGGAGGCGTGAGTGGGCTGTGGCACGCGTGGGCGAAGAGAGCTGTCGCCCCGTTTTCGTCGCGTCTCTTGGAGGGCGGTCAGGCAATGGGACAGGAAAATAAGTGTGACATCTTTGAGGGAAACACCTAGTGTCTGGGGGTCGTGTGCGAGTCCTCCTCTTCCTTTGAGTGAGTCAGAAGAGAGAGGCGGGAGACGTGCCACCTCGTCCAGCTGCCAGCCAGCTGTGCCCCCCACCCCCAACGTTAGTGCCAAGGTCGAGCTGGGAGGTCTTGGATGCGGGATCCGGGTCTCAGCTGGAAAAGGAGGGGTTAGCAAAGGTAGCCCGGGCTGCAGCCCTTGGGCTGGGTCGTAGGGTCCGGGTTCCGTTCCCCACTTTACCCCGCCCTCACCCTAAATCCCAGCATCCCGGGATCACCCACCGCGCCGCCGGCCGGCTCCCGGTGGTTCTCCACCCCACCCCGCCCCACCCCACCCTCCGCTCCCGGAAGACCGAAAAACCCGGAGTGGAGTCCAAGCTAGTTGAGGAAGGAACGTGGACCTCGCACCAGCTCCCTGCTCTAACTCCTTTCTAATAGAGGACTTGGTTTTCTCGTTCTCCTTAAGCCTTTCCTCAGAGTCCCTCTCCACTTCCGTCCTAAACCTAAAGAGTTAGGTAGGCCCGACTCAGACCGCCTCAGAATCACTTTAGTTTCCATCCTTTTTGCTCAACAGACTGGGAGACGCTCTGCTCTGAAGCCTTATTCCCTCCCACACACAGTTCTCTGTCTGAAAGGACACAGCATTTGTGTTCTCTTCTGGCCCCACCAGTCAATCTGGACTGAAGCGAGGTCTCCCTCTACTGGACACTGGAGAGATTGCATAGGAGTTCTTGGACTCAGGCAGAGCGAACAGCCCTGGGCATGAAGTCAGATCACCATCATACTCCTCAGAGCTGGCCCACGCCAGAACAAGAAACGGTAGAGGGGGTGGAAAACAAACAAACAAACAAACAAACAAACAAACAAACAAAAACAAGCAGTAGAGGGCTCATGGCATTAAAATCGCTCGGAACTTAGATTAAGTCCGTGACATTCCCATGTCATACACAGAAACTTCTACCCATCCCCCGAAAGATCCCCAAGACTGACTGGCTGCGTGTGTCTGCTCTGTGGGACATTTCCTTTAATGCAGCTGAATGACAGCGTTTTCCACTTGATTTCCATGACCGATTTCTGAGAGAGGAGTTAGGGCCACAACGGACATGCTGGCCACGATTTTGTGCCTGAGACTTTCATTTATCTTCTCTGTTTCTCTCCATCTTTGTAACTTGCAGATGTATGTTCTTTCCTGCAGTGCCCCTCGCCCTTCTCTGAGACACCATGTTCAACTCTATGACTCCACCACAAGTCAATAGCTATGGTGAGCCATGCTGTCTCCGACCCCTCCCCAGCCAAGGGGTCCCCAGCTCGGGAACAGAAGGTAAGTGCATTGCATTACGGTCCCTGGGCCTTGAGGACTTGGCAGAGCTCCCTTCTAGCTCCAGGCTCCCTCTCAGCCATATCCCTGCCCCATGCTAGCTTTCTATCTACGGGAGGAGGGTTTTGAGACCCCATATCCTGTATGGTTGGAACCTGGGAGGGTGTCTGATGTGGGGTTCCCAGGTAAGCCCTGCACCCCCATTCACATGCCCCACTCCAGCTGGCTCTCTTTTCTAGGACTTCCTGGTTTGCACTTTTGCCACCAAGCCAACTTTATGTCAGGGCCCCAGGGTTATGGGTCTGCCAGGGAGACCAACGGCTGCACTGAGGGTGAGGACTCAGGCAAATCTCCCTTCCCTCTGCCCCTCAGGGACTTGTTCTGAAGGACACGGGAAAGCAAGGACCTAAACTCAAGAAAGGTCCAGAGATGAGGGGGATCAGAGAATGATCAAGAGGTTCTGGGTAAGGCTGGAGAGTTGGCTCAGAGGTTAAGATCACTGGCTGTTCTTCCAAAGGTCCTGAGTTCTGTTCCCAGAAACTACATGGTGGCTCACAGCCATCTATAGTGAGGTCTGATGCCCTCTGCTGGTGCTTATAAATAATAAATAAACAAATCTTTTAAAAAGACAAGAGGTTCTGGGTAGAACAAGGCAAAAGCATTTTGCTTTTTGAGTCAGTCCCCACTACCCAGTGTACGGAGACATGGTACCTTTACTGTATTTTTTCTCTTTTTAATTTTATTTTTTATCAATTCATGTGGTTGTGTCTCTGTGAGTATGCACCTGTGCTAGCGCTCTGGAAGGCCAAGGATGAGGGCCCGTCCCTGGAACTGGAGCTGTGAGCTGCCTGATGAGGGTGCTGGAAATCATACTCAGGTCCTGTGGAAGAACAGTGAGTGCTCGTAACCACCGAGCCATCTCTCCACTCCCCTTTTACTCTGTCTTAACTTCTGTCTCCTGCCCTAGGGCCACTCTTTCCTCCTCCCCGGAGTTCAGTCAAGTTGACAAAGAAGCGGGCGCTCTCCATCTCACCGCTTTCTGATGCCAGCCTTGACCTGCAAACAGTTATCCGCACCTCACCCAGCTCCCTTGTGGCTTTCATCAACTCACGCTGCACATCTCCAGGAGGGTCCTATGGCCACCTCTCCATTGGCACCATGAGGTTCTGGCAGCCTCAAACCAAGAGGCCCCTAAAATATGTACTGAAACCCATTAGAAGACTCAGATCCTTCTAACCTCCAGCCCAACTTAGTCTTTACTCCTCCCTGTGCACTGGAACCCTTTCAGGACCTCCCTGGGGCTTCCTCAACCAAGCACAATAGAGCAGGGCTCCTGGTGACTGACGGGATAAACTAACAGCCTCCTCTCCCCCCAGCCCGTCTCTAGGCTTCCCACCGCAGACAGGTCACCAAAAAGGAACCTCGCCTTCCTATGGAGTCCAGCCCTGTGTTCCACATGACTCTCCTCGGGGTGGAATGATGCTTCACTCTCAGCCCCGGGGACCACGCCCAGCCTGCCAGGTGGGGCCCTCCACACTGTTGTAGTACGGTGGCTTCTCCAGCTCAGGAGAGATGGGCAGTGGACTTAGCAGGGGGACAGCAGAAGGAAGAGAGCAGACATAAAAGCTTTTGGTTGGGGTCCAGAGATATGGCTCAGTGGTTAAGAGCACTGTCTGCTCTTCCAGAGGTCCTGAGTTCAGTTCCCAGCAACTGCACCATGGCTCACAAACATCTATACTGGGGTCTGATGCCCTCTTCTGGAATGCAGGTGTACATGCAGATAGAGCACTCATATATGTAAAATAAATAAATAAAATATTTTTTTTAAAAAAAGCTTTTGGTATTGGGAAAGTAGATGGCGGGGTTCAGCCTTTGAGGTTCCTCAGACTCTCCCAGAGAGAGCACACTCTTCATCCCACTTAGCAGTGCAGGCTGTGAGGAAACTCTTCCACACTCCGGGATCCTGCTGTGTGGGCGGGGACGTGGAGCACAGAGCCGGGCACGGTTTTCCTTCTGACTGCCCCGTACTCATTACCACACCTCTTCTCCTGGGGAAGCTGAAGTCAGAGTCGGACATGATGGTTGGCAAGTGTCCAGAGGAGTCTTTGGAGGGAAACATGTCCAGCCCCAACTCCACAGGCACACAGGTAAGGGGAAGGCAGGGCTCTCCCTCTGGGACCGGAGCAAAACTTGCCACACAAATGACCCCAAGATTGTCTCTGTTGTCCTAGGAGCACCTGCTAGGGATGCTGGATGGGCGGGAGGACCTGGAGAGAGAGGAGAAACCTGAGCCAGAGTCTGTGTATGAGACCGACTGCCGCTGGGATGGCTGCAGTCAAGAGTTTGATTCCCAGGAGCAGCTGGTGCATGTGAGCCCCCCGGGGCGGGGGGGGGAACAGAGGGCTGGGAGCCTGGAGGAGTGAATGGGGCACCGTGGTCTGGCTGAGGGCAGTAGGTTCAAGGGTACGAGGTCACAGATCACGTGCTCAGTCCTGCAGACAGAAGCTCAGAGCAGCTTGAGATATGGGGCACACTGTCCCCTTTGTCCCCCAAGAGGCAGAGCTAAGAGTGGTGAATAAAGGGCCATGTAGTGTAAACCCTCGGTCTCCCTCCGCAGCACATCAACAGCGAGCACATCCACGGGGAGCGGAAGGAGTTCGTGTGCCACTGGGGGGGCTGCTCCCGGGAGCTGAGGCCCTTCAAAGCCCAGTACATGCTGGTGGTGCACATGCGCAGACACACGGGGGAGAAGCCGCACAAGTGCACGGTGAGGCACCCGTTCCTCCCTACGTGGGGAATCAAGGCAGGGCCCAGGCTAGACCGGATTTCAAAGTCCTTCCCAGGCAGCTGTGAAAAGTAGTGCTGAGAGCCGTCTCGACAGAAAGATGAGCATGTCGACATATGTTAAAGTGTTCTTAGTTACATTTAATGGGATGGGCACATGCGTTCCAAGGTGTGCGTGTGGAGGTCAGAGGCCAACTGAGCGTGCCCTAAAATATTTTCTTGGTATGGTGCATGCACTTGTAACCCTAGCACTTGGGAAGCTGAGGCATAAGAATAAAAAGTTTGAGGCTAGCTCTTAAAAAACCAAAACAAGTCAGGCCTGATGTCACATATGTTTAATCTCAGTATTTAGGAGGCAGAGGCAGGCAGATCTCTGTGAGTCGAAGGCCAGTCTGGTCTACATGATGAGTTCTAGGCTAGCCAGAGTGACACAGTGACATTGTATCTCATAAAAAAAATAGCAAACAACAAAAAAACAAAACGAAATGAAGTTTTAAATAAAAAAAAAAAAACTTATTTCCCCTTTAATCTTTGTTTCTCGAGACAGAGTTTCTCTGAAGCCCTGGATGTCCTGGAACTAGCTCTGTAGACCAGGCTGGCCTTGAACTCATGGAGTTCTGCCTGCCTCTGCCTCTGCCTCTGCCTCCAGTGCTGGGATTAAAGCCATGCACTACCACCATCTGGCCCCTTTTGATTTTAAAAGAAATGAAAACATGTGGTTGGTGGGCATGGTAATGCAAATATTTAATCCCAGCACTTGGAAGGCAGAGGCAAACACATCTCTATGAATTTGAGGTGAGCCTGGTCTACATAGTGAGTTCAAGGCCAGCCAGAACTACACAGTGAGACCACTTGTCTCAAAATAATAATAATAATTATTATTATTATTAAGAATGAAAGTAAAAGTGTATTTATGGATCCTTTACTGTGGGGCCCTTCATCCTGCTAGTATATTGCTAGTGGATCAATGATGAAGGACACTCATGTAAGCCTGATCTCAAGATGACCCACTCGGCGACCATTTAAGTCCCGGGAAGGGGTCCTGTTCCAAGATGCTCACTGCCTCACTGCTGTCCTTCACCCTGCGCTGTTTCCAGTTTTCTCTGTCTTTAGCTCCCATCACTCCTGTGCCCTGATCCTCGGATTCTCCGAGGTCCCCATGCTCTCCCATTTTTAGTTATATTCTCTAGTGTAAATCCTTAAATCTCCATGTCCTACCTGAGAAATGTTGCTTGGCCCCTTCACATCATCCCCTAGTTTGAGGGGTGTCGGAAGTCGTACTCACGCCTAGAAAACCTGAAGACGCACCTTCGGTCGCACACGGGTGAGAAGCCTTACATGTGTGAGCAAGAAGGCTGCAGCAAGGCCTTCAGCAACGCCAGCGACCGCGCCAAGCACCAGAACCGGACCCACTCCAATGAGGTGAGAGCCCAAACTGAGAGCCCCCTCTGAGCGTACCCCCCTGTAAGGAGCCCCAGGACTCACTCCACATCCACAGACGTGCCTTCCCCTGCGGTGTGATTCATATGGAAAGCACAAGTGTAAAATAGATCCCTGACCCCTTCAGCTTCTGAATTTGGTGGCCTCACAACCCTGGGGGTGACTTATGTTCTCCGAGGCCCACACCATGTTTCTCTAGGCCTCCTGTTAGCTGGTCAGGGCCCGCACTCCCCTTACTTCCCGGGATGCTGTGCGTACTCCCTCACTCGTGGGCTTGTAGCTCTCCCGGATCCGTGTTCTTCCGCTTTGATCCCTGGCCGTCTCTTGGCCCTCTACTCAACAGAAGCCGTATGTGTGCAAGCTCCCCGGCTGCACCAAGCGCTACACTGATCCCAGCTCGCTCCGCAAACATGTCAAGACGGTGCACGGGCCTGATGCCCACGTGACCAAGCGGCATCGAGGCGATGGCCCCTTGCCGCGGGCGCCGCCCCTCTCCACGGTGGAGCCCAAGCGGGAAAGGGAAGGCGGAGGGTCCATCAGGGAAGATGGCAGACTGACTGTGCCCGAGGGAACCATGGTGAGCCAGCCAAGGAAGCCTTGTCTCTTTATCCCAGCATGCCCTGAGGGCCTCCTGCCCTTTCCTAGAAGGACTTGCTCCTATACACCAGGCTTCTGCCATAATTCAGGGTTGCTCCATGGCCCCAAATCTTGATTGGATGGGTGGGGGTGGGGTTGCTTCTGGGAGTATGAATTAAGCAAAAGCTCTACCACAAAGTAAATCTTCAATCCTCCTAACATTCTCCGTGCGCACGAAGAGGGCACCGCATCTCATGTGGTTGCTGGGGATTGAACTCCAGACCTCTGGAAGAGCAGCCAGTGTTCTTCACCTCTGAGCCATCTCTCCAGCCCTACAGGCTCTTTCTCAAACAGAACTTTAACTACACAGTTCCGAGCCTTTGACGGCATATTGTGTGTATTCTTCACAACGAGAGGAAACAAGGCAAAGGGAAATTGTCAGGGTCATGGAGGGAAGGCAGAATGGAGGCCCAGCAGGGACCCCTTTCCTTTTCTTCCGGTCTACCCTAACCTCCCACGTAGTCCTCTCCACCCTTGTCTGCCTGTCCTCAGCCCTTCAATCACTGGGACACAGGCTTCCCGGGGAGCGAGGGAGGGCGCCACCTTCCAGTCTCATCCTCCTCACAGCCACAGCAGAGCCCGGGAGCGCAGTCCTCCTGCAGCAGTGAGCACTCCCCAGCAGGCAGCGCGGCCAACACAGACAGCGGTGTGGAGCTGACTGGCAACGCAGGGGGCAGCACGGAGGACCTGTCCAGCCTGGATGAAGGACCCTGTGTCGCGGCCACTGGGCTCTCCACTCTCCACCGCCTGGAGAACCTCAGGCTGGATCAGCTGCATCAGCTCCGGCCAATAGGGTCCCGGGGTCTAAAACTGCCCAGCTTAACCCACGCCGGTGAGACCTGGGTGCGGGCGGTGGTTGCTGCGCTGAGCTATGGATCTGCCCTGAGGTTGGCAGGCCGAAAAATACTCCCCCTTGAAGATGTTTTTCCTTCCATCAATCAGAAAACTGTGATATATAGCTAGGCATGGTGGTGCACACCCATAATCCCACCACTGTGGCAGGAAAACGGTGTTTAATACATCTGTGATATGTTATCACATGTCTGTGTGGCAGTGTGCAAACTATGACCACCTGAAGTCCCTGCTGAAACAGGAGCAGAGTAGGTGTGGAGAAAGGAGAGGCCGCCAGTGTGGCTAGCACGGGACTCTACTGTGAGGTTTCAGGTCGAGGTTATTCCGCGGGAAAGGCTGGCTGAGGATCAAGGGGGCTCCCGGCCACCTGCCTTTTTCTCCTTGTCATTTGCAGGCGCGCCTGTGTCTCGCCGCTTAGGCCCCCAGGTCTCCCTTGACCGCCGCAGCAGCAGCAGCTCCAGCAGCTTTAGTTCTGCTTACACAGTCAGCCGCCGGTCCTCCTTGGCGTCCCCTTTCCCTCCAGGATCCCCACCAGAGACCGGGGCCTCATCGCTACCTGGCCTCACACCTGCCCAGCACTACATGCTCCGGGCAAGATACGCCTCGGCCAGGGCAAACGGCACCCCACCCACCACAGCTCATAGCCTGGATCGGATGGGGGGTCTTCCTGTACCTCCTTGGAGAAGCCGAGCTGAGTATCCAGGATACAACCCCAATGCAGGGGTCACCCGGAGGGCCAGTGACCCAGCCCGGGCTGCTGACCACCCTGCTCCAGCCAGAGTCCAACGGTTCAAGAGTTTGGGATGTGTCCACACGCTCCCTAGCATAGCAGCAGGGCGGAACTTTGAGCCCCACCTCCCCACCTCTGTCTACTCACCACAGGCCCCCAGCATCACTGAAAACGTTGCTATGGACACAAGAGGGCTACCGGAGGAGCCAGAGCTTGGAACTTCTGTGATGGGCAATGGTCTGACCCCATGCATGGACTTTTCATCTGTTGATACTCTGAGATATGGAGCCCCTGAGGAGACAGCGGCTGAGCCATATGGAGCTAGGGGTCCAGGCTCCCTGCCTCTTGGACCTGGTCCACCAACCAACTATGGCCCTAGCCACTGTTCCCAGCAGGTCTCCTATCCTGACCCCACCCCAGAAACATGGGGGGAGTTTCCTTCCCATTCTGGGGTTTACCCTGGCACTAAGGCTCCGAGTGGAGCGTATAGCCAGTGTCCTCGACTTGAACACTATGGACAAGCGCAGGTAAAGCCAGAGCAAGGGTGCCCAGTGGGGTCTGGCTCTGCTGGATTGACACCTTGCCTCAATGCCCACCCCAGTGAAGGGTCCCCAGGCCCACAACCTCCATTTTCCCATTATCCCCAGCCTCCTCCTCCACAGTATCCCCAATTAGGTCCCTATCCTCAGCCTCCCCATGATTATCTTTCATCAGAATCCAGGCCTGACCTCAACTTTGAACCCCCCTCTCCTTCCACAGGACAGCTCAAAGCTCAGCTCGTGTGTAATTATGTTCAGTCACAGCAGGAATTGCTGTGGGAGGGTAGAAGCCGGGGAGGACTCCCCCACCAGGAACTTCCCTATCAGAGCCCCAAGTTTCTGGGGGGTTCCCCAGGTAGTCAGAGCTCTACAAAAGCCCCAGCAGCTGCATACGGATCTGGCTTTGCTTCTGCTTTGGCCAATCACAAGTCAGGCTCTTATCCTACCCCTTCCCCATGCCATGAAACTTTTGAAGTGGGGGTAAACCGGCCTTCCCATAGGCCAGTGGCACCCCCCCGGCTTCTGCCTCCACTGCCTCCTTGCTATGGGCCCCTCAAAGCAGGGGATGCCAACCCTAGCTGTGGCCACCCTGAAGTGGGCAGGTTAGGAGCTGGCCCTGCCTTGTACCCGCCCCCTGAAGGGCAGGTGTGCAACCCTCTGGATTCTCTTGATCTGGACAACACTCAGCTGGACTTTGTGGCTATTCTAGATGAGGCTCAGGGGCTGAGTCCTCCTCCTTCCAATGAGCAAGGGGACAGCTCTAAAAATACCCCACCTCCCTCTGGGACCCCCAATATGGCAGTGGGTAACATGAGTGTCTTACTGGGGTCTCTACCTGGAGAGACACAGTTCCTCAACTCTAGTGCCTAAAAGGATAAGGAACCCCAAGCTAATCATGAGGTGCCCAGGGATGGGAGGTTTGGGCTGGGGACTGTATTTAGTCTATGTATGTTCCAGGAAAAACTTTATTAATGACAGTTTCTGACAATAAAGGAATGCTGAGAACAAGTGCTTTATGTGTCATGCGGGAGAGGGTCAGGTGGGGTTCAGACTTCCTCTTCAACACCCCTCCTCATCTAAAGGCACAAGTGAGACTCAAGAAATGAAGAGTGTCCTTTGGGAGAGTTTATAGGATGTCTTCCAAATAAATCTGTTACCCCTCTCCAAAGACTTGCTGACAAATCACGGGAAGCTGTCTCTTCCTCCCCCAAGTCAGGTGAAGATGCTGGCAAAGTTGTCGAGCATCAGCTGAGTCAGCTGCCCAGGGTAGACTACATGAGCTGTCATGTCCGAGGCCTCCTGCTCAGGTCGAAACAGCGTGGGTCCAAACACAATTCCCAGATTGTGGGCAGTCATGCGGTTCTTATCGGAGTGTGCTATCACCCTGAGGGCAAAGTCAAGGAAAGGGGAGATAGGCAATAGCTACCCACCACAAACAAACCAGAATAGCCATATTGGGTCTGAGCAGGGTTGACGTTACTCTGGGACCTCTCTACATGCTGGCTGGAGGAACCAGTCTTAAAGTCTTGTGGACATAAACATGTTTTTGTTTTAATCCCAGGTGTGGGATGTGGGACAGATTCAGGTGGTCCACATCAGCAAACTATTTGCCTCATGCTGGGTCTGAAAGGAGCTTTTGGCAAATAGTTAAAATCTGAGGACTCTGGAGAGTGCCAGGGCCCAGAGAGTGTAGAGGAGCTCAGAGAAAGAACAAAGTTGCTGCTTCCCTCTGCAGCTCCTGTTGCTGTTGATGCAATGAGACAAGAAGTTGGAGATCTCCTGAGACGAGGATTGGACTGGCTCCAAGGAACCTGACGACCCTAACCAGCAGGAAAGAGCTAAGAAAGAGAACTATGTCCCCTCTCCCACTAATCCTTTCTCTCTCCTACCTGATGTTGGGGTTTTGGAAGGGATTGGGAGGGGGTAGGGAGAAAGAGATATAAAAAAATGAGATATAAATAAAAAGAGATATAAATAAATGTTGTTTTTAAGTATACCAACAACAGAGCTAATGGGCAGCAGAGATGTGCCGGTGGAGAATCCTTCAGGGTACAATCTGGAGGCACAATCAGGGGAGAGAGCTGCCTGGTTCCCAGCTTCAGGGTCAGCCCCTAGAATCCTCTCTGCTCACAGTGTGGCAGGCTCACATTCAAATGTGCCCGAGCACAGCTCAGCAAGCCACCCCTGCTCCTTGGGAGACTAAGGCCAGGAAGGGAAGGGAGAATCCCCTTACTTCTATCACAGTACCCCTCCTTGTAGCTTGTGTTTCCCCCATGTAATTCTTAGCCAGCCAATGGCTTGGATCCTCTCCGGGGAACACCCCGCTCCATCTTCCTCAGCAGGAACTCTGGGGCTCCCTCACCTGCACAGGTGCTCCAGGATGTACTGCAGCGTGTCTCGGTTGGGCCTTGGCAGTGAGTCTATTAATTTCTGTATTTTAGAAAGGCACTGCTCTGGTTCAGAGAGTTCTAGAGAGAGTGATTGAAAGGACAGGGGATGAGGTTTAGAGAAGGTGTTACAGCAGGGCGGGTAAATTTCCTCTTTCCCATGTCCATGAATGATACTATTTGGCTAGTGCTCTCTGCTTTCTCTGCTCTCTCTCTCAGACAAGATTGAACCTAGGACCTTACACATGGTAAGCATATAATTTCCTGCTGAGCTATATAGCCCTCCACTCTCCTGCATAGCCCAACAGCGGCTTTTAGAACTCTTGTCAGCTCAGCCCTCTAAACATTTATACACATATTCCCCAACCTCCAGAACTAGAGCTGGCATGTAAGTCATTCTCCATCCCCACAGTAAGGATGGAAGGGACCCTCTGTTCTATTCTTAACTTCCTCCCGTGTCAGCGGTTATCCAAAGCTCTTAACCCTTACCAAGTGCATCTCGAAAATGAGGCAGCAGTGGTGGAGGCACCAAGGGCTGCGGCAGCTCACGAAGGAAGAGCTTCAAGGCTCCAGTGACCACATGGATATCATCCCATTCAGCATTGTCTAAATCTAATTTGCCTTCTAGAAGGTAAAAAGAGATTCCTTGGGTTGAAGGATCAGAAGAGCCAGAGAAATCAAAGATCAGGAATTTAGGGGAGGGACAATCAAAGCAGGTCACAAGAATGTGGTGACGGTAGGGCCACAGCAGGGCATGACGAGGGAGAGGCTAGGCACAGACTTTGTAGGGCAGGGCACGGGGGATTGCACGGGGTACAAAGAGGGCTTATAAGTTAGAGACGGGGCTTCCCATGTAAGTACCTTGTCCTGGCTGTTCCGGGAACATATATCTCCCATCGGAGGTTACTGCTCGTTCTGCAACATGCATGAGAAAAAAGCAGCCGCTGAGACACCCAGTTCCAACCCCTCACTCAGAACCACTCTAGGTTCTGAGGTACAGGGGAGGAAGGCCACTTTTAGATATATTTACTTCCTCTCACCTCTGTCTACCAGGAAGCGAAGTTTCTGGACCACTGCCAGGTTCCCACTCACCCGGTAAATGCCATCCACCTCTAGACCTAGGAGATGAGGTACAGAGAAGAGGACAGTTCTAACTCTGAAGTGTACATGAGGGAGCGAGGAGTCAGTAGAAAGGCAGAGGTGGGGGAGGGGATCCTAGGGCTTCAAAGGCTGATTTTGCGAGTCTTTGGGAAAACAACCTTTTTTATCCACAGCCTCAATACAGAGCCGGACAAAGCTGGGCACGGTGTCCCCTTCCCGTTGGCACAGTGATTCCAGCTGGCAACCAAAAACCTGGTCTGCAGAGGAAGTGAGTGAGGTGGAATCAGTAAAGGTCTTCAACCCTGTTGTCGCCTCAGGACAAGAAGGCCCTCCCTCTGACCCTCTGACCCTGAGGTGGGGAAGCAGGGATGTAAGTAGGCTCTAATCTATTGAAAGTTCTACTTCGAGCCTCATTAGAGTTTCGGTTAATGCTGAGATTAGGAATATAAAAGCTCCTGATCAGACCAGGCAGGATGCCTCCCTTACCTGTAATCCCAACAACACTCAGGAGGCTGAGGCAGAAGGATTGCCCAAGTTTGAGAAAAGCCTAGGATAAATACTGAGAGCCTGTTGCAGCAATAATAAAATCCAAAAACCCAAATCTACACCAAATAAAAACACCAGGAAAGCCGGTACAGAGCGCAGCGAGCGCCCCGGCTGGCCTCGCCCACCGCACCTCGCAGCAGACCCCGCTCCTGAAGGCTCTGCAAGGTTGGCCTCTTGGCGATCAGCCGCTTTAACTTGCTCCGCACGCGGTTCTTCTGCTCAGTCCCCTCTGTACACCGACCTGCAAAATCCGGAACAGTGAGCTCGAGCGGGCACCCTTGCCGGCACCCCAGCCCGGCCAGCTCCGTCCCTCTCCGTACTGGAAGTTCGGCGGCTGCTGAGCCGCATCAGTGACTTGGACGCCGGCTCCGACTCCAACTCGTCATCCTCACCAGCGCTCAGCTCCGCCAGCTCCGCGGGTCCGGAGCCCGACAGACGCAGCTCCAGCGGGTTCTCCCGATCCTAGGCCCAGCCGCGGGGCCGGGAAGTCGGAAGGGAGAATATCTGTACCCCAGCTTGATGCCTGGCCCCCACATTCCAGCCCGAGCCAGCTCCCCCCAGACCGCCCGGTCCCATAGCTCCTCCCTTCGCCCCTCCCCGCCCCGCGAACCACGCGGGTCTCCCCTTCCCGGGCGTCGCCTCCCGGGGTCTGCACCCCTCTCACCAGGCGCTCGATGACCGCCCGCAGCGCGCGGTGCCAGGCCCGCAGCTCCGTCTCCTCGTCGGACTGCAGCAGGAACTCGTGGCCGGGGATCGTCCGGATCTGGGAGAGGAAGAGGGCGGGGAAGGCTGGCGTCAGCGAGGACGAGCGCCCGCGGGTCACCTGCAACCCCGGGAAGGCACTCACGTGCAGGACGTTTCGGCGGCTGGACAGGTGGCGCCCGTTGGCCAGGGCCGCGCCGCGCAGGTCCACGCTGCTTTCCGGCCGGCTCCCAGCTGGCGCCTGGCAATTACAGGAGAAACTGAGGCTGAGCTTTTGTTTCCTCACCGCTTCCCTCATGGGAAAGGTGAGCTGCTTCCCCCTTTCTTCCTCGCCGTTCCCTTCTCCGTCGGCCTGAGCCGCAAACCAGTAACCCCAAACCCTTGCTGCTCGCCCTGGCCTATACTCACCCAGCCTTGGGAGGGTGCAGACTGAGGCGGCCGTTCTCGGTAGAACACAAGGCTGTTACCAGTTAACACCACCCAAGCAGGGCCCCAGTTCTTCCTGTGGAGGAGGAGGGGGAGGAGTAGAGGTAGTTTAAAGGTCACTTTAGACTTTAACCTGAGCCGGGTTGGTGGCGCACGCCTTTAGTCCCAGCACTCTGTAGGCAGAGGCAGGTGGATCTCTGTGAGTTCCAGACCTGCCTGGTCTACAGAGTGAGTTCCAGGACAGTCAGGGCTACACAGAGAAACCCTGCGGGAGGAGCAGAAAAAGAAATTTCACCTGCAGCCCCTGAGCCTCCTGCACCAACCATTACATGGCTCTCTACCCTGCGGGACCCCACAACCCAGACCCTTGGTATACTGAGTTCTCACCTGAGTTTGCGCCCTCCTTGAGCAATCTTGGTCATGTTGAGTAGGCCTGACTTTTCCTCCTGGGAAAGGTATGAGCACTGCCTGTGAGCCACCCGGGACCACCCACAGCCGCCAGTGGTTCTCTGTAAGTGAAGTCCGGTGAAGTTTGGGGGTGGGGGGGGGAACTGGAGAAGAGCGAACACCCAGAAAGAAAATGCTTTCGAGGAGCAGGAGTTGGGAGGGGGCGTTTTGCAGAGAGGATCTTGGCATTTCAAGACAGGAAAGGTGGTCTACATAGTCACGTGAGGTCATCCAGGAGCTGTGGCTGAGCCCCACACGGCTTTGAGGCTACAGGCTGTTCTGAAAGGTCAAGCCATGGGGTGCTGTGGTTGAGGTTTGGTAAACCCTGAGGATGGGAATTTGAGACAGGTAGAGGAACCTTCGATTTGGAGGTCCTAGGTTGTAGAAGGAATAAGAGAGTGCTGTGGGTGATAGGGCAATATTAGAGTGGGAAATGAAGAATGCCTTACATAAGGAGGAAAGTCATAAAAAATTAACGTTTTAACATGTGACTGGGAAATGGGGGGGGGGGGTTCTTACCTGCGGATGGAGCTGTTCCTGAGGTTGTGGGGCACCACTGTCCCTGCCTAAAGGCTCTGTCTGCTCCATGGAGCCAGGTTTCTGAGTTTAGGGGGACACAAAGCAACATCCAGATAGTAGGTGCCTCAACGCTTCTCACAATTCTCTCTTTCTTTTGATCTTCTGAGAACCCCAGAGAGAAATGGGAGGAAGAGATTGAGGGGACCATGGGACAAGCAGGAGGGAAGGTTTCTTGAGACAATGGAACTGAAGTGGGATCCAAGTATTGTTGGAGATGTTAGGGCCAAAGCCTGTGTCCTTCCAACTCTAGTGCTCTAAATTCCATCAATTGTTCCCAATAATCAATCAAAGGACAGAGAAAGATTTACCTGGTGTTGGAGAGCATTAGCTACCGTCTGGAGGGGTGGGGCCAGGGTAGGCCAGCCGGATTTTCAGCAGCCTCATAAGAGGTTAAAAACTGTAGCTTCATTTCTAAGAGATCTGACACCCTCTTCTGGCCTCTGCGGGCACTGCAGGCATGCCCATACCCATAAATTTTTTTTTTTATTTATTCAACGTGACATTGAGAGGCTGAGGAGATGGCTCAGCCAGCAGTTAAGAGCACTGGCTGTTCTTGCAGAGGATCCAGGTTCAATTCCTAGCACCCACATGGCAGCTCACAACTTTCTGTAACCCCAGTTCCAGGGAACCTGACATTCTCTCACAGGCATACATGCAGGCAAAACTCCAATGTGCATTAAAAAAAAAAAAAAGCCACATTGAGAGGTGCATCAGTCATATAAGTAGATCCAATGATCCCCAATTCTGCTTTTGGGGTCCTAACATTAGGTTTGAGTTTGAACAGAGGGCAAACTCACACACCTTTAGTGCACTTTGGAGGCAGAGACATCGGATCTCTGTAAGTTCAAGGCCAGCTTGGTCTACATAGTGAGACCCTGCCCCCCCCCCCAAAAAAAAGGATTGTAATTAAGCCATCCTGGTTAAGGTATGGTCCTTGCTCATCCTTGTCTCTGTTCCATTCTCTGCTGACTCAACTTGTCAGAACAGTGTGAACTGTCTTCCTGGGAGACAAGTTCCTTTCCTGGCTGGCATCAGGACCCCAGCCTTTTACTTCCCTAGCATAAGCCTCCTGGGGTAATTCTAACTCCCTGGGGTCTATGTCTCAGTGGTCTGATAGCTGAAGGAAGTCACACAGAGCCTTTCTTTTTAGATTTCTGTCCTGTTGGGAGCTGCTCCCAGGCACCCAGCCTTGTGGTGGGGGATGAGAGGGGATGCAAGGCCTTCAGGACAGGGACCCTGGTCTTCGGGGAGACCCATGAGGTTACAAAACACAGGAGGGGCTTGGATCCTGCTAGAGGAGTGGGGAAGAAGGGGGTGGTTATGCTGTCCATGTCCCCCCAATCTCTCTCCCGTTCACTCACCGTCAGCTCTGTACCAGGGTGACCCTGGTACAGGGGTGCAAACCCCAGTCTCCGGCTGCTTTTTAAAAATTCTCCCCTCACAGTCTTCTTTGCTCTTCTCACTTCCTGTTGCCAACTTCCCTCCTCCCCCATGCAACCCCGCCCCAGGGCTGCAGGAAAGGGGAACAGGTTTTGGGTGGTGGTGGTGGGGAGGAGAGAGTGCCCCTACCTCACATCTTTCAGAGTAAAAGACAACACCAAGAAGTGAGAGACAATGCTAGAGGAGTATGAGAGATAGGACGCATTATCCACAAGTGGGGGTGGGGGAAGGGCAGGCTTGCTTGTAATCCCAGCACTTGGGAGGCTGAGCTGGGACAGCTATTGGAGTTTGAGGTCAGTCTGGCCTATATAAGGAGTCTGGATCAGCTGGGCCTACTATAGAGTAAGACCCTGGCTCAAAAAACAACTGATAAAAGAGGAGGAGGGGGAGGAGGTGAGCAAGGGACTTACAATTTTAGAAGGAACTCGCTGGTGTCCTGGCCTGAAGACAGGACAGAGGACAAAACCTGCCCTGGGCTAGGAGTCAGAACTGGAGAAAAAGCAGTCAGTTTGTGCCGGATGCCTAATCCCCTTAGGGCCAGTGTAACTTTGCTGTCCTCTCTCACCTCCTACTTGGACTTCTCAGACCACTTCAGCCTCTTCGTTGTGTTCATCTCATTCAATCTGCACCCTCCAACTCCCTCTCAGTTTCTTAAGAGAAGGATGCTATCTGTCCTGATCACCGCTGCACCCAGAACAAGGCCCAGCTGTAGTGTAGTTGACAGACCATCTCAGAGGAAGATTTATAACTCACCACGTTGGCGCTGGCCTCTGTCATCCAGCGGTCCTTGGAGAGAGAGCTTTCTCTGGGCCCTTCCTTGAGGGGTGTCAGGAAGCAGGGCTTTAAATTGGCCATGCTCACACTTCTGCACATTTTGTGGGGACAGGAAGGAGGCTCCTCGGAAGTAACGTGGAGTTGCTGAAACAGGTAGAGCTCCTCCAGGGAGCATGAAACAGCTCTGTCCCTGCAAAGAGTCGTGGAGGAGGGGCAGGTGATGACAGATGAGACCTTGGCTGAGTTGTCAAGGAATGCAGGGGAAAGCTGCCGGAAATGACCTAGACAGCTTGGCGCTAGAGGGGGTAAGGAAGGATGCCACCATGGTGTGGGTGAGAACTAGGCTCATCAAAGGAAAGCAAGAGAAGAAGGCATCAAAAGCCAGGGCAAACCCCCTCGGTGAGCCTTTACAGCCAAAAAGAGCTGCTCCTGGGTGCTGGTGGGAGCCCAGAGAGAGGCAGGCGGAGGGGGAAGTTTGCAGCTTACTCACCAGAGGGAGGTGCTGTGGAAGGAGAGTGAGTCCTCTGTCACGTTTGCAGCTGGAACAAGGATGGGCAGAGAGCTGGGGGCACACCAGGCGCCTTGCCAACCACCAGTCTGAGTTGGTCTTTCAAAGCAGTAGGAACCTGTCACCTTCAGCCAGGGATACCTGCTGTCCATCTGCCCCAGTATAAGTGAAGGGATAGAGGGCGCGGAGCTGGGGTCCCTGAGACGGGCTTTGTAGATTTCCCCAGGTGCTTGGCCACCACTGGCCCAAAAGCATTGTGATCAGCTGTGTCACCTACAGGAAAAAGGGGTGCTGAGGTTCCAGAAGGATGTAGGAGAGGATACCTCCAGGCAGAGGGACATGGTTCTGAGAGCTCTGTGTGCTAAAGAGAGAGACAGGTGTAGGCTGAACAGACCCTGGTGGGAGAGACCAGCCCAGGTTTAGGGGCTGAAGACTCCTGTTTGGTGTGCCTGATGAGGAAGTGTACAAATAAGGTGAGAGAGAGGATGTGGTCAGCAGCCTACATATCGAGCAAGGCAGGAAATCAGAGGAGGGAACTGAGCATGGTAATTTTTCTTTAAATGTCTCATAGAGGTCACCTGAAGTTACAGGGTCAGAAAGAGCTGGTCCTGGATGCTGGTGGGAGCCCTGAGCTGGACACAGGAAGACCATGAGGGGGAGGAATCAGGCTGAGAGAAGAACACAGGCAAAAGTACAAGAAATGATGACTAATAAAAGGTTACGGCTTATGACCCTTTATTAAGTTTGCACAGGCCTCAGGGTCGCTGTGACCAACTGCCTTAAACTTAAAGCTTTGTTTTCTGTGCAGACAGACAATCAGAAAAACTAAGAACAAATGAGAGGGAAAGAGGAAGGGGTTAAGAGAAAGAGGGGTTCATATCACCTTAAATCCTGTCTAGAACACATTAGGGGGTATGATCTCTATGCATTGGTCTTTTGGAGGAGTCTTCAGGTTTACAATGGGGCTCTATTTATTTACATTCTTGTTTTATGTATATGAGTGTCTTGTCTGCATGTATGCAAATGTCAGGTGGCTGAAGCGTCCACAAAAGCCTATTGGATCCCCTGGAACTGGAGTTACAGGCAGTTGTGAACTGTCATGTAGGTGCTGGGAATTGAACCCAGGCCCTCTGGAAGAGCAGCCAGCACTCTTGGCTGCCGAGCCATCTGTCCAGCTCTTTCATTTCTACTCTTACAAGAAGTGAGGCACTGCCTCCTGTGTGAAGGAGCTATCATGAACTACAAATGGCAAAGGAATGAGCTCCATGAGCAGCTCGAGGAGGGACACAGTACATTTCCTATTTACAACTGATTTGAGGACTGGGCACACGTGGTTCAGTGGTTGGTCATAGTGGCTCACCCCCAGGAAGCAGAGGCCAGGCTGGTCTACATGGTGAGGTCCAGGACAGCCAGCGCTTCATAGTAAGACCCTATCTCAAAAACAAATAAAAATGCCGTGACAGGTTGGGCACTGACATCACTTTCTCCCTGGAGGACAGTGGGACGGACTTACCTGGGGCTGCCAACAGCTGAAACCTGCACTTCTCACTTCTTTGCCTTTCCTCCACTGTAGAGTGTAAGATTTTCACTCTCAGTTTTGTAGAGTTGGAAAAGAGAGTGTGTATCTTTTCCTTCTGGTGACTTGAGACAGCCAGCTCTCCTCATCTCTGGACATAATCTGAGGTCTGGCAAATTGGTCCTCCTCCTCCATGATCTTCCTCCTTAGTTTGTCTTATTTTCACTGGATGGAGACCACACCCCTTATCTCTTTCTTCCTTCTTCCCAAAGGCTTACTCATTCAGTGTTTAAAGATTATTATTATTATTATTATTATTTTGTTTTTTGAAGACAGGGTTTCTCCGTGTAGCCCTGCTGTCCTGGACTCACTCTGTAGATCAGGCTGTCCTGGAACTCATAGAGATCCACCTGCCTCTGCCTTGGTGGCATGTGCCACCAAGCCTAGTAAAAAATTATCTTTTTTAAAAAGTCAGTAGTAGGGGGCTGGAGAGGTGGCTCAAAGGTTAAGAACACTGGCTGTTCCAAAGGTCCTAAATTCAATTCCCAGCAACCACATGGTGGCTCACAACCATCTATAGTGTGATTTGATGCCCTCTTCTGGCATGCAGGCATACATGCAGGCAAAATACTGTATAAATAATAAGCAAATCTTAAAAAAAAAAAAAAAAGTTAATATTAATCCCAGTACTTGGGAGGCTGAAGCAGAAGGATTTCTTTGTAGGCTGCCTGGGTCTACAGAGTGAGTTCCAGGGCTACACAGAGAAACCCTGTCTGGAAAAACAAAAACAAGTCAGTGTTACTGTTCAGTCAAAGCTGGCTTTGAACTCAGTCTGTGCCCAGGCTGGCTTCAAATTCATGGCAACTATTCTGCCTCAGCACCCTAAGTGCTGAGATTGCAAGTGTGCCCCTCACTGCAGGTGTGCACCTCCTCATTGGCATTTTTTTTCTTGGCAGTGGTGGCTCACACATTTAACCACACACTGGGAGGCAGAGATAATTGGATCTCTGTGAGTCTGAGGTCAGCCTGGCATACAAGGTAAGTTTCAGGACAGCCAGGGCTACACAGAGAAACCCTGTCTCAAAACAACAACAACAACAAAAATAAAACGGGTGAGGGTGGGGACTGGAAGGATGGCTCTGGGATTAAGAACTGCCCTGTGGGTGCTGGGAACCAAACCTGAGTCCTCTGAAAGAGCAACTAGTGCTCTTGACTGCTGAACCATCTTTCCAATGCCCACTGACTTTTATTCACTTTGAAACTTTTTCAAGTTTCCTTTCTGTCTTTATAGAAATTTCTGGGACTAGAGAGATGGCTCAGTGGTTAAGAGTACTTTCTGCTCTTCCAAAGGACCAGGGTTCAATTCCCACATGGTAGCTCACAACTGTCTGTAACACAAATTCCAAGGGATCTGACACCTTCATACCAATGCCCATAAAATAAAAATTAAATAAATTATTAAAAAAGGGGGAGGGAGGGTGGAATTGGGAGGGGAGGAGGGAGAGAGCTACAGGGGGGATACAAAGTGAATAAACTGTAATTAATAAAAAATAAAAATTTTAAAAAAAGAAAGTTTCTTTTACTAGGCCCTTAAGTTACCAGTTACAAGTGGGGGTTCATAAGAGTAAATCCCAGTGTTGGAGAGGCTGAGGGAAGAACAGGCAGGTGAAGGCCAGTCTGAGATATGTCGTCAAGGCTTGGCTCACAAAGCAAAGCGAAACAAAGCAAATCTGTCTCTCCAGCTCTCTCTCTGTCTCCTTTTCTCCCCAGCTCCTCTAAATTCTTGAAGGTGACTTCACGAAGTGATCTTCATTTCATATCACCTCTCCCCTTTCCAAGGATACTCCACTCTAGCCCAGACACCGTGTAATCCTTAGGTTGACATTTCCATGGCAGGAAACCCCAATGCTCTTTCCGATGCTGATGCTGGTGTCCTTCCCTGTTCCTTTTCTGGCACTTGCTTCTCTGTGGCAAGAGGGAGAAACTTCCTCTGCTTGTTCCTTAAACCACAAAACCCTATCTGAGCTGTGTCCTTTGCATACTATGTACACTCCCTTGATGATCTTAGTTTTTCAAATGGCCTCTGTATCCTGCTAACTACTCTGTCTCTAGTCCAGATATTTCTCTGATCTCTGGTCTTATTCACTGGCCACCAAAAAATTACATAAGTATTTCCCAGGTACTACAAATTCAGTATGCACCAAATTGAACATGTCAACCTTCCCTACAAATCCGTTTCTTGTTCAGCTGTTAGACTTAAATTTAATAAATAGCTATGGAGCCCTTGTTAAAACATATGCTAGGTGGGTCTATGCTGATTATGATGATAAATACAGGCTGGTGCCCTCTCATCCAGTTGAAATGCAGCATGATAAGAATCAATGTGATAGAGATAGTACCAGCATCTGCTGGAAAAACATGTGCCCAGTTGTACAAGCCAGAAGCTCAGCAGCGTTTTGTCTGTTTCCTCACCACTCATAGTGATCCAACTGATTATTGAATACTGACATTTGTGTTTTTCCAAGTCCCCTTCCCCACTTTGCTGGCAGTTGAACCCAAGGTCTACTGTATAGCAGAAAAGATTTTTATTACTGAACTACATTCAAGCTCTTGTATTTCTTTTAATTTTTAGAGACAAGGTCTCACTATGTAGCCCTGGCTAGACAGAGAACTCACTATGAAGACCAGGCCAGCCTCAAACTCACAGAAATCTGCCTGCCTCTGCCTCCCGAGAGCTGGGTTTAAAGCCACCACACCAGCCTAGCAATTGGGTTTTTGAAAAGGGTCTGGCTATGTGGCTCAGGCTGCTATGGAACTCACTATGTAGCTAGTCTCAAGCTCTGGAACTTGTCCTCCTGCTTAAAACAAAACAAACCATTTACTTTAGGGCTGAAGAGATGGCTCAGCAGCTAAGAGCACTGACTGTTCAATTCCTATATGGCAGCTCATCATCAGCTATTGTAACTCCTCTTCTGGCCTCAGTGGGGCACCGGGTATCCTTGTGCACAGACACACGTGCAAGCAAAACACCTATATATGTAAAAAGCTAACTTAAGGAGAAAAAATTATTTTGGGACAGAGTCTCATGCAGACCAGGCTGGCCTTCAACTGACCATGTAGGTGAAGATGACTCCCAATCTCTTGCTTCCCAAGCTTTGGAATTATAGGAATACACTATAATGCCTAGCTCCCTTAATTTTATAGATTTGTGTATATGAATTCTGGGAACCAAACCCTGACTTTCTGTAAGAATGAGTGCTCCTTTTTTTTTTTTTTAATATTTATTTATTTTATGGATATGAATGCTCTGTTTTCATACACCCTAGACGAGGGAATCAGATTCTACTACAGATGGTTGTGAGCCATTATGTAGTTGCTGGGAATTGAACTCAGATTCTCTGGAAGAACAGCCAGTGCTCTTAACCACTGAGCCACATTGGTTTTTGTTTGTTGGTTGGTTGGTTTTTGAGACAGGATCTTGCTTTATCCCCTGGATGGCCTTTATATTCTAAGGCTGAGCCTGATGTCACTTCAAGCCTTCTGCCTCTGCCTACTTTGTGCTCTCAAAGGCCTGGCCCTTTCCTCTCATCAAGTCTATCCTCTAGCATCAAAAAGCCTGTAATCCCAGCACGTGGGAGGCTGAGGCAGGAGGATCTCTCAGGTTCAAGGCCAGCCTGATCTACAAAGTGAGTCCAGGATAGGCAAGGCTATTACATAGAGAAACCCTGTCTCCAAACAAAAAGAAAAATAAAAACAACTCTAGAATCTTGAAAATTTTTAAAAATCAAAACCTTTTGGCTGTAAATGAGTATATGTGTGTGCATGTGTGTCTGAATGTAGGTGCCTATGGAATCTAGAGCATGGCATAAGACCCCATGAAACAAAAATTATAGGCA